AGCTATTTATATTTTCAAATTTATTTCAATATCGTACGATTTTTGTAGTTGATTTGCTGTCTGGTGTACATACTACAGCATAAACGTGAACTGATTAATGGAAATGTTTTCCCAATCATCATATACTTTGCTATGTATAATAAGATGGGGTTGAATTCCGAAGCTAAAAAAACAAGAACATATTGTTCCCATACTTTCCCGTTCAGACAGTTTATAAATAAAAATAAGAATTTAAAACATTTCATATACGATCTATGACAATTGCAGTAGTACCAAAAATATTTCCACAAATGTTTAATTTTACACGTAATATTTTTGACCAGATGTATAACTCTTGGTAGTTAATTTGTCTAACCTTGGAAATTGTAGTGTGCCATTGCCAACTGGAATTAATATAATGCTGTATGCAATTTGTTGTGATACGTTGTAGTAAAATAGAAAAAAAATCATTTAAATATATCTTCAACTGTGTGTTATATTTTCATTTAACACATTTAGTCCGTAGTTTATACAATTTTGTGGGATTTACAATCGCGGGTCATTACAGAAGAGTTCTAAACGATTTCATAAAATATACTTTTACAGAAAGGTGTCTTAAAATGGTTTGAGGTTGTTTACACACTTTTTTGTCAATCTATGCATTTTAAATCGATCGAGAACAATGAGTCGTTCGAAGAAAATCCAATACTTCAAAATAGACATTTAGGCGAAGAAATCTTGTTCCGTGACAGTTCATTTGCTGTAAGAGCTTATGATATTTGATTGAGTAATCCCACACCAGTTTTATAGCTTGCAAGCTACTATGTGTGGCAAGAACAAGAACGGTGTATGATCTGATTTCGATCTTATCCTTTTAACTGAACGCAATTAAAAATTGCTAACATTCCTTGCTGCTACTGCCGCCGCCTGTAAGTAAACCTATTTCGCGTGACCAAGCTCACTGTGAAGCCTTTAAGAGCAAACAGTATTTTCGCGCTGTTGTGCTTGCGGTTAAGACGCAAGTGATGCATAGTTTCCGTGATTGGTTGATGTGATTGCTTGTTCACTGTTTGAAGTACAAGGTACACTTTTAAAATGACACAATCAATATTTCCAAAAGATTTATTTGCAGATATGTTACTCGCAGATTATTTTACAACATAGGGTCCTTTATCTGAAAGTAACGTCGGTGTTCAACCCTGTTTTCAAAGTGTTTCATAATTATCTGTGGGTAGGTATTTTACACTTAAATTGCGCAGATATACAGACACTCTCACACATACACACACACACACACACACACACACACACACACACACACACTTACCTATATTTTACCACGTACCTAGCTTCATTATTACGGAATTTGTTATTTTGGAAAACTGATTAGACTGTAGATAAACAAATACCCATTTATAGACCCTTCATCTGTCTCAACTCTAAAAATAACTTGTCGACTCTCGCCTGTTAGCTTATGCTCAGCTCCATCTACTCCCTTGGTGTTGCGGCACAAGTGAATGCGTTACATTATGTTTCTTGTAAAATTGTCTGGCGACTCTACGATGAGGTGGTTGAGTAGTTCGTTGGACATAAATGCAAGTTTTCGTATTTTTGTAAGTATACTTATGGGATCTAAGAGACTTTTTGTCCCATGTGTGAGCAAAATTGTTTACACATGGGAATAATTAAATGTAGTACAATCATAAGAGAAAGTATTTCGAAATCGTGATGCCTTTCAAGGAGTCTCTCGTACTGATGACCAAGTGGGTGAACGAAGGTGTTCTAATCTGAGACGTATCTTTACTTTCATTCTTTCACACTTCGCAAATATGACTGACTTCACGTAAGTAGAAATGAAAGTTTATCTTTCTTCTTAGTTTTCTATCTTATCTTTAATGGAACTAACGAGATATATTCTTAGCAGAGAGACCAAAATGGACCACTTTCGAGAAATATTTTAATTTCTCTTTCGTGAGGCACTTATTTGGACTGTACTAATCACAAGCCGTGAAAACAACAGAGCACAAGGGAATGCTGACTAAAGGAGAATATAAGTACAATCGGAGTATTCGTGGGTGAAGATCGAAAACAAAGAAGAGAGGCTTACAGAATTGTTCGTCAGTCTCAAGTGCTTTGGGAGATCTTTTCCTCGAGGTTTTCTTAGACATTTTTTCTTGGTGACCTACATTGTGGTATACATTTTGGTAAAATGTATAAATGGTTTTGCGTTCATTGTTCTTGAGTTTGGTATGCCTGATAACTATTTTTCAAGTTGAATGAAATTGCTTGATTCTAATTGGAAAAACGGTGACATAACAAGAAGCGTAGTTATCTGCTTATTAGGTATGTTATGGTACCAGTTTTTTCTCAACTTGTGCTATCTAAATAAATTCGGTCTTTCTGGTTCTTATTACATTTGTTAAGTTATTAATTATTGTGGGAATCAAACCCGATTGTATGATTCGTACGATTATTTTGGAACAGGAAATCGTTAATTCAAATGTTTATTTTTGGAAGGGAAGTACAGATGTGCAACTTGTCATACATTTACGGCATTTCAAATTCCCTCCAACATAAATGACTCTGTGTGAAACCTTAAAGGACTTTCCTGTTCAACAGGCCCCGTGTTAACACCGGGCCCAGCGTCCACAATGTTCAAGGGCCCATGATTGTTCTAAAAAAAAACAAAAAAAAACAACTATTTTTGTTTCGAAAAAAGTGTAACTAATAGTACGACAGAATGGCACAGACTTTCTCGTATTAGTCTTATATTTCTTTTTGTCGCAGCTAGCTATTCGGACTTGCCTCGTACTCTTGCCCATCTCGGAGTGTGCCGCTCATCATTGGATAATATTTATAACTAGTGGACCCGGCAATGCTTCGCTGTTGCAATGTAATTCGCTTTGCGTGCTACTGGTCACGTGTTAATCACATTAACGCTACGCTCCGCAAAAATTTCAATGGACCGGCTACAGGCCGCGCGAGATCTTTCTTTCACCTTCCTTGTAATATCCTCGCCCCATACCTACACACACTTACACTAACGCGAACTATACTACCACACATGCCGGGAGACCGGTCGCGAGCTTAAAGCTTGTCCCTGCTGGGACGGTGCTCTGCGATGGAAGATACCTGGTTGGGGAGAACCTCGCTAGCCGATGGTAGGTCGGGGCCGGATCACGCTATCTAACGGGGGAAGATCACAGCCATCTCCCGAGACAAAAACACGCACTACACTTAGGCCTCGGCCGTTGACGCGCCCGGAATCTTTAACAATGAGCCTGGGCAACAATGCTGCACAGGCGGCGATGTTGCCTCTAATCTGTCACTGCGGGTGATGAGTCGCTGGCATCGCGTCATCCCCGGTTGGAGGCGCGTGCGGTGTGAGCGTGGCGTATCGGGCAACGTGGGCGCGTCTACGCTGCGTGCCCCGTCGTGTCCCGCGCGGCGTCGTGCTAACTGCGCACGCGCCCCGCTTAACGAGCGCCTGCCCCGCCGCCGCCGCCGCCGCTGCGGGCGCTTTGTTCGGCCGCCGCGCCGAGCGTGTCTCTCTCCCCCCCCCCTGCTTTCGCGTCGCGCCAGGGGAGCGTTCTCCCGACTACGATCCTCTCCATACGTTGGTGCTGGCACCTTACAAAGCCTGCCGGGTGCATTAGCCGTGGGTGGCCACTTTATGCGAAACGGGGAAAAGTATAGGGAAAAAAAAACGTTTGGGAAGTCGGAAAATATTTTAAAAAATTTTAAAATGAGATATTACTTTTTAAATAGTAACATTGGTTCAACGGTTTTTGTTACAATTTTTATTTAAGAAACAAATATTGTTAATTTCGCACATTTTAATGATGAATCAGAAAGATGACGAATTTGTAAAATGAGGAGGAAAACTAGGAGGGAACGAAGAAAATTTGGAATTTCTTTCTTTAAAAAAAATGTTCACCCTATTAGTAATAGCTGGTTGCAATCCCGCAATCGAAGCTTGGTAGAAGCGGAGATCCCTCGCAATTGGGGTTTACGGACCCACCAAAATGGCTGGGTTGGACGGCGCGCAATCTACACTGAAATTCTAGAGCCGTCGTTTGCCCTCATCAAGTCGAGGCGGATGTTGGAGGAGTACAGTGTCAGCGCTCCACAGATCGATTTTATCGTTAGGGTTCGTTGGTGTTTTCTTTGCATTGGTATGTAAAATTGGTAATGGATTACGAATATTTTGAAAATGAGTGGGTGTTTTATTTTACACTCGTGAAGGATTATTACAAAAGGTATACGTGCTTTGAAAATTCATAGATAAAAATTAATTTCCAAATTGCTCTCTTATTACTACCTACATCATCTTGTTTCGAATATTAGTAACAATAAATTGGTTATCTAATTTTTGAGAGTTTAAGATGTTTAAGTTGCACAATATTATCTGTATTATAATATTTTAGTTTCCATATAATTTCTTTATGCCTCAATTTTTATTTCAATTAAAATTTTCTGTATGAGATGAAATATAATTGGCATTGAAGGAAGCGATGACTTCAACGCTCGAACGAAACAGAAACTTTTGCGCCAAGAAATTCTCAGAAGGCAGCTGTACAAAGAGCTCGCATCGTAAAGGCAGAGCATGGACTGGTCGTTTTCTCAAAGAAACGATTAATTATGTGAAGCCTTAAAAGCTCCTGACATTACGAGTAGTTTTTGTTTATACATGTATCATTCCCATTCAATCTTCAGGTATCTTTTCGTAATCTGCAAAAAAAGCAAGTAAAAAATTCTAAATGACTATATGTGGAAATTAGCCATTGTAGGATAACTGTAAATACCTTTTGATGAAAAACACCATATTTGTATTTTTGTTTTATTTTATGCTTTGAATTGACTGGTTAACTCCTTTGTGAACCTGTTTTGAAAGCGGTGACGCAAGTTTCTAAAGGGTTTTTACCAACACATTCTCATATTTCTGAAAGCCATGCAATTAAAGGCGTTTGTGAATAGTCAGAAGCACTCTGATAAACAAGCGACTATTTTTTTTTCATAAGGAATGTGAGTTAGAAAACAATTCGCTGCAGAATGTGTTAAAAATGTGTTTAACAAAAAGATTTGAAAAAATAGGATGGTTTGTGGAACGCGTAAGACTTAATTAGCACTGAACGTCCATAAATATGGAAATTAAATAATAGTACATAATCTTTAGTTGACAAATGTGTATTCAGGAATGAAAAAAAAACAACTGATTGAGTAGATTTCTGTGGACAAGCACATGTACACATGCAATATCCTGTGCATGACTAGAGTGATCTACTCAATGTTTTTTCATTTTCTTGACCTCCTAAATCGCAATAGTTAGTTTCAGCTGGTTCTTTCGTGGATCGAAGACACGTTTCACTTGCAGATGTGCAATGTACTTGTGTATACGATACTCCTGATTAATTCTTGAGCCATTTACTCCCAAGCAACATCTATGAGCTGATCGCACATAATTAAGTATATCATTTTTTCTATCTTTTTTTTTTCTTTCTCCGAAGGTTGAACACCCCCTGATGGCGTTTCTCAGAATAACCATGACTGTAGTCCAACCCGTTGCATGGTACTCGTAGTTCGCAAATTACCCAGCGCTTTCCGAGTCAGAGGCCCCTTGTGTCTCCTCTAAGCGACATGAACGTTGCTACTCACGTGGACTCGAGACGTCTGAACTCCGCTTTCCGCAGCCGCCGTTTCCCAGAGGTTGCGACGCGGACTGTCACCTGCCGGAGTCCGGAACCGCTCGCCAAACAAAGCGCCCACGGTTGGACATTGGCGACATCGTTTCGGAGGGCCGGGAACAGGCGTTGAAGAGCTTTAGCTTCGTGATGACGGGCCACTAGCTGCCCGGAAGCCTTGTTGGGAGGTATTTTTTTGTCCACGCGTGGGAGACTATGCATGCACGTCCAGGGAATTTAAAACTTTCCCTTGTCGTATGTGTGTAGACTTCGTTGGTCCTTGTAGAAAACCTTTTTGGTTTTGTTCGTAAGAAAAATGGATTTGCTTAAAATTACGGTGATCACTAATGCCGTTAGCCAAAGAATGTAACCATTCGTGGAATTGTGATGCAAGAGATTCAGTATTGTTTACTGCTACGCTAATTGCATTACTTGCAGCTATTTATTCCACGTATATGCGATAGCTCACAAGATTGCTACTTGAAATCGATTTATAATGTGTTCGTAAACAGCTAAACACTGAGTCACTTGTGTTCATTTTTATTGGTATAGTGCTTAGCATTTTGTTTACTTTTAAATACAGATGTGCCTCTTTTTTAAATATTCGGTGTAAAATAATCACGGGATTAGGGAATTCATTTAAACACAATGTTTACATTATTTCTCGTTGATATTGCTACTCAACTAACACTACATAGTGTTTATTGGGTAACAATCAAAAATGTCTCGCTAGTGGTTTCAGGGTACTTCGGGTGCTAAGAGCCTAGGAGGGCTCAACGAAACGCCTGTGGCGGAGAAATCGGTATATTAAGAAATTTCCAGGTGCTTCAGAAGCTTAAAAAGAGCTTTAGTTTTGGAACGTATAGAGAATGTCACCGTGAGACATCTCATTTTATGTTTTATAAATCAAAAGTTTTCTTAAAGTACGTATTCTTGACAGTGTGTATGGTAATTGCAATAATTCAAAGGCAACGGAAAGTTGACGGTGCACGGCAGCTAAAACTGCTAATGCCAGTAAATAATTGCCTAGGACTGAGAAAGCAGGGTGAAAACGGAACTCCGACTGTTCTTGAAACATTTCGCGTCTTTTTTCTCAAACTTTTGTTTCTATAATCAATTTCTCCCAGCCCTGGAGTTTGTGCAAAGTCATGAACCTAGTGAACGTTTTCTGTTGGTGTGGCAGTTGTCAGTGTCTTGGAACGAGCGTGAATTAATATCCCTGTCCTCGGTCGTTAAAAGCGCAGTTTCTCATTGTGTATAAAAGTACGCTACGTAATTATGTCTAGTTATCTGAGTGAAACTGTTCTGATGACAAGGACCCGTCAAAACTTTTCACTTGTTTAAAAAGTACAAAGAAGAGTGAGCCATTTCAAAATTTGAGTCGTCCAAAATTAAATGGCTGACGTTATGACCTGTATTGCACACAAATTTGGTTTGAACCAGAATTCTTTTACGTTTCGTGTGCGCACCTAAAATTCTCTTCGAAGAGGGCGCGGCCTACTTCGTTTATACACAAGCAGTTTCAAACGGGCGAATTCTCAGAGCAACGTTTTATATTTTCATTAATTTATTTATTAATGTTTGCATGGCGCACTACAATGCTTAATTAGATATTCCTTATTAAGTTTCGCTTTGCGGTTGATGACACTATTTTAATCCCTGGTATCAGTAACTTTTTTTCTTCTCTTTACACTAAACAAAGGACCGCCTTACATCAATTGAAATGTCTTCCTTGTGAGTAATATAGTTGTGGCAATCTATAAGTTTGTTGACATAGTTGACTCTAAAATTATTCAGTCTCGCTGCATCTTAACCACACTGTTTGGAGAGTGGGTTTGTTGCGAGAGCCATATCCTTGGCCGTTTAGCTATGTCCACCCGATAGATCGCACCAATTTACGCTCTGCAATGACGTCGAGCCTACAATCATGTTTGTTGGCGGGTGCACCAACCACCGCTCCGTGTGTGATGATGCTTATTAAGTGGTGTGGATCCTGGATACAACGCCAAGTGAATTTCCGAAGATTCCTCGTCATGTTTTTTATATAGCCTGTATATTCTGGAGCCGATTTCTACCTTGGCCGGCATGGGAACTCGATCACCGCAGTTGGTGTTCCTTAAACGATCGAAATGACCTGCTCGAGTGGCTCCGGCCGCCAGGGAGATGCACCAGCGGGCGGGCGCCCGCCCGGACGAGCTGCGCTGCGCGGCGCGGCGCGGGGCGATGGAGCAAGACGGAGGGCAGCGGGCGGCGCACAGTGAGCCCAGTGCCAACGCTGGGTTCGGATTTATTGGTTAATCCTGTTTCTGAGAGCGTCAACTGTTGTGATCATTGGTCGCGTAAGTTTAGTGCATATTTTTCACGGGAGATGGCGGTGTCTCTACCACTGCATGGTGGGATCCAGCACAGAGCTTCACGTCGGCGTACTGGAATTTCCCCTTTCAGGATCTTCCACCAATGAGGTATCGTCCCAGCTGGGATAAGCTCTAAGCTTCCAACCGGTCTCCCGGCATGTGGGTAGACTAGTGCTTGTAGGTTGAGAATATCAACCCTTACACACACTTACAAACCCCCAAGGAAGAGGAAATAAAGATCGCACGCGGCCCTTGGCCCGTTTGTCATGCTACTGCTCTGGCATTCGGCTGGTACTGTTGGGAATTCTCTTTCAGTCAAGAACTGAACTCGACCTGTCGCCTTTGCAATGTGGTCGGGATCATTAATATACTTGAAAATAATTTTATCTGTTAATTTGTTTTCATAGCAAATTCTTACATGTAACTAGTTATGGGACTTCCGAATGGCAAGATTTACATCTCACATGTTATTGCGAAAATAATGTTGGAACATGCTGGATATTGCCCGCGCATGTATCGACATAATTGATATTGTAAAATCCACACTATAAACAGTAGTGCTCTAATGAGACATTTCGAAAACCTATGAACCTATGACACGATATTTTGTGCTTCATTATTATGTAACTTCATGTTTCAAAATAGTTTCGTATAAAATTTCCTCTTAAGTCATTTAGGACTTTGTTGTTTTGAGGTCACGAAATGTTTAATGATTTTTAGTCTATATCAACATGCTCTACTTACAATTTATAGCAATTTTGACGAGTTTCTTTTCAAGTAAAACGTACAAACAAAAGTCGATGTGAGACGATG